AACTCCTACAAAATCGAAAAACAAAACCGAAAACCACAACTTTTTTTTTCCTTTTTTTCAATTTTTTGAAAGCGGCCGACGGCGGGCACTTTGCAATATTCCTTCGCATCGACGCCCGCCACCACCCGGCCCCTGTGGGCGCGCTCTCTCGTTTGTCGGCGCGCTGTGAACAATTGGGTACGCGCACCACTCTGCACGCACCCCCTCCCTCGATCGCCTTCATCCGCCGGGCCAAATCAAAAGTTCGCCCCAATTCCGGCGCGCGGCGGAACACAACCTCCCCCCGCGGGCCCACCGCGCTTAAGGGGTAGGATATATATATATATACAGGGTCACCAGCCCGTATGTACGGAGGTCCCCTGGCAGACCTCCGTACGTACGGGCGTTCGGGGTCCCGTACGGGGTCCGAACCTGACGGCATTCGGCCCCCGCCAAAAATTATTCCGGAGCCTAGAAGTAATTATTTTTTTTTGAATGTTTTTTTGTGAGTTCTCTATGACGCGAGGTACATGCCTGTAAATTTCCAAGTCATTTGGCTCAGCCAAATAGGAATAAAAAATCACTTAAGATGGCGGTGTCAAAACGTGCTCGCCCACGTATTTTCTCACTTTTTACTTTTTGTTTTCACTTGAGTTCGGGGTTTAAACAATTTTATTATTTTTTGAAACTTTCTTAGTGGGTTTTGTATTATGTGAAGTACACATCTGTTAATTTTCAGTGCATTTAGCTATGCCAAACAAAAATGAAAAATCGCCAAAGATGGCGGTGTCGAAAACATGCTCGCGCACTCACTAAATTTTTTTTTTTTATTATTTTTATTTATTTTAATTATTAGTATTTGTTTTCCGTATTTTATTTTTATTTCAAATTTGGTAAGGAATTAGGATGCAATGCTCAGGAAAATCTTGTTTAATTTATTTTTCTCCATAACATATCTTTTTTCAGTTTTTTTTTATAACTTTTGTGTTTTTTTTTGTTTTTTTTTTTGGGGTCCGCGTTCAGCCTGAACGGCGATACGCATCCCCAAGGGGTCCCATACGTTCGGGCATTCGGGTTCGGGCGTTCGGCCCGTCCCGAACGCCGGTTACCCTATATATATATATATCGTCATAAATAGAACTGTCCGGTAAACCGTAGGTAGAGAGAGAGAAGAGGACAACAAACGAGGGGCCGTCGGAGTTTCACCGACTCATCAGGAGGCTGAACCCTCAACAATCTGCAGAATCCCCTCACTGATTACACTGTAAATGATAATCTACCTTAACCAAAATCAAAGTAGACTATCACTCACCCACACCAGATGGAAATATATGGGTGTAGGGTTTGGAAAACCCTACAATCCTATGTTTTTTTATTTTCGAATCGAACTTCGTTTAAGATTTTTAAAAAATAAAAAACGAAATTTGATTTAAACAAAATATTTAAAAAAATGAAAAGAAAAGAAGGATTTTTTTTTGGCCATTTTTTATCATGAGGGATATGGTCCCTGAGTTGTGCTATATTATTTTTAGAAATGATTTTCGGTTTTTTGTAGGGGAATTAGGTGTTTAAAAAAAGTGAAGGTGCAAAAATTTAAAACAAATCAACAAAAAAAGGGTTTGATTGATTGATTGATTGATTGTGTGTGAGTGCGCGTGTGTGTGTGTGTGTGTGTGTGTAATGGGTGTGTTTAACACAGCAGCCCCATAATCATGGGGAACCATACCATCCTTCAGTCCAAACGTAGCATCACGTAGTGTTAGCTGCAGGCTTAACATAGCACAGGTTAGGGGGAAGGGTTATCCCATAGTCATCAACTCCATAGGTAAGTGGAGGATTAATTAGGGGGGAGCAGATTAGGGTGTTAGGAAGAGCGGGGAACAACAATGGCATAACCATCAAGGTTGGTGTAGTGACCAACAGAGGAGGGATGACACATCCCTTCATACGCTTTTTGGCGCTTGCTCCCGTCAAGGCTCATTAGAAGGTGAGGTGTTCCCATGCGCTCGGCTAAGATACCTATGGAATACCACGATGCGAAGGCCGTTAAGGCAAAACACAGTGAGGCAGATGACGGCGAGGTAACAAGGCACTGGACAACAAGAGGTTGCAAGTCACATAGGGTGGAGGACATGGGCGAGGGGGGCGGGCAGGTAACCAACACAAAGAAAGAAGCGAAAAAGGCACGAAGTACTGATACCAAGTTGGAAAAACAGAGAGCGAAAAAAATAAAATAAACAAACGTTGGTGATGACTGACTGTTTCATCGGAGTTGCACCGACTCATCAGGAGGCTGAACCCTCGACAATCTGCGGAATCCTCGTATTTGATGGTTTGGGTCATGAACCCTTTGACCCTTGTTGAAGGCAGACTGTCCCCAAGAGGGACATAGCAGCGGGCAGCAACGCTGTGAAGCACCAGGCAACACAGTAGCGGCAACACGGTTGCACAACGCCAAAAACGACTGCAAGGAACGACATGGCATGCAGCGCAGCAGCCGTGTAGTGAAGCACAAGGCAACACAAGCAAGGCAACAACACTTCAGGGGACGACAGGGCGAGTGAACCAACAGTTGGGCATCCGTGGAGAGGAGCACAAGGCACCAGCACCAAGGCAACCAACCGACAGGGCACACAAGCAGGCCAAGCGGCAAGCACGGAAGGCACGGCCAACGGATGAGCAGCACGGCAGCGGAGCAGCGAAGCGCAAGGCAACACCAACAACACGGCCACACCGCACAGCGAACACATCAACCCGCAAAGAACCACACACAAAGCAAGCGAGACAGGCAGCAAGGTAGCGGCGGAGCGCAGACAAGGACGTCTACACATCCAACACGGAGCAAAGCAGTGCATGACCTACTCACATCACGATTGCACCCCGCAGACTGTTGGTTCCCACCACCCATTGAGCCAGGGAGTCACTCCGACGAACATCCATCATCACCGACAGGCAACACAGACATCCCAAACCGAACAGCCCCCATAAGAGTGCAGTATGCACTCCAAACGAGGAACCACCGACTGTTTGGCACTACTTAAGGGTGCTCAGTTGGGTTAGAAAAAATACTTGGAAAAAATCGGAGGGAGGACAGACAACAAGAGGAAAACAGACAGACATAAAAATTGATTGTGTGTGTGTGTGTGTGTGTGTGTGTGTGTGTGTGTGTGTGTGTATGCCGGGGAGGGGAGGGAGGACCCTCCCCCACCAATCAATCAATCAATCAATCAATCAATCAATCAATCAATCAGTCAATCAATCGAATCAATAAAAAAACAATCAATCAATGAATATTTATTTATTTTTCTATTTTTTTAATTATTTTTGCTACTTACCAAAAACCACCCCCCAAATTTTCATTTATTTATTTTTTTTTGTGCAGGCCGTTGGAGGCCGACGTGCGCAGGCCGCGTGCGCGCACCGATTTCCCGCGTGCGCTCCTGCCTGGCTGTGGCACGGCCGAGCGGAAACTCGGTCTCGGCCGCGGCCTTGGGTGCCACATAGGACGAGGCAGTTGTTGCCTCGGCCCGACTCCCCCACCGCGCCAGTTTCCCAGTGTGGGGCCCCAAGGGGAAGATGCTATGGTCAACGAACGGCCTAGTCCTCCAACCTGTTGAAGTGTACCGGCACCCGCTTCTGTTGTGGTGTAGAAAGCACTCCGCACCCTCGGTTTCTCAACTGCTGCGGATCTTCACCAAAGTTTGGAAACCCGCCAAGATGGCTATGCTGCACCTTCCTCTCTCCACCCCTTCTCCTGCTGCCTCCCAGCTATGGCTTCTGCACCCGCTTGCCTCTGCTATGGCTCATCCTGCCCGGGGCAAGCACCCTTCTCCCGGCAGCACTATCCCTTTTTCGATCACCTCCCGGCCCCCTCCGCCATGTCGCCCGTCCTCCCCTTCGTGCAAGTTCACTTTGGCGGCTGTTTCGTGCTACTACCAATGCAAACCTGCTGCGCCGCGTGCGCTAAGCGAGCTTGTCCACGCATGTGTGTGTCAGTTCCATGACTGCATATTAGTTTGTCATATATTTCAGCTTGTCCCAAACAGCTGGCTGGCTGACCATGCGGTCATTGTGATCACCGACGAGGTGAACTTACCCTCAGAGACTCAACATGTCTAATCTTGGTCATGGCACCTGTGCATGCTCATTTTCTCTTGTATGCAGAGTAATCCAACAGGTCACTATGAGCTTTCTTTGGTGCTTCAGACAGATCGGTTGATTGCATGTCGGCTGATGGAAATGGCTGTCGATGAGGGTGACTGCATCAATTGGCGAAACATCAGATACCAGAACGAGTTTATTCCGATCAGCCCATCTGCACCAGATGACTGGAACGGTCTCATCCCAACTGCAGGACTTCTCAGGTATCCTCGCATTCTACCACCTGCAATCAGTGTGTTGCATGTTTGATGCTATTGAGTGAAAGCTTCGCGGAAAACTGATCAATGGGCTGGTGTTGTCTTCTCCCTCAAAATCATTGTTGAACCACTTATCAATGCCATTGTGAACAGCATATCAATTGTCCTTCCTCTCCTTACAGGTCCTGATCATCCTCTTCCTCACCCCCCTCTATCCTACACCTATGGTGCTCAGGCACACTTCCTAGCTATAGCCACTTTGTCTCTCCTCTCCCTGGGCTGGTGTTGTCGTCTCCCTCCTTTGCGCCAGCCTCGTCTTCCACCTCCATCGCAGGAGCAGCATCCTGGCCACCAACTCACACAAGGCTGAGTGAAGGAGCCTACCGGGGCAGGCAACTGTTTTGTAGTGCTGAACTGCCTTGGCCTGCCTCAGTTTGCCTCATCATGTGGCTGAGGTTTCCCAATTGGGATGGCCAAGATTTGCTGTCGGCCAATGGGCCATCGGGCCTTGGAATTTCTGAACAATGCAAACAGCCGTCGATGTGCATTTGATCTGTAGTCATGGTTGACAACTGAGAAATCTTTGACTCTTTGACTACTTTTCCCAAGTTGGGTTTGACTCGTGATTTTCCTAAAGTCAACTACCACTTCGTGGGGGCATGGGTTGTCTCTTTTGACCTGTTGGACCAAAAGAGTTTTCTGAGACCCTTCTGGGGCAGGAGATGTGACTTGTGACCCTTGAATCTGGTTGGAGACCAAAAGCTATGACCCTGCACTGTGTTTGTGCGGATTTTGAACGAGTTCTTTGCAGCATACAGAGTATAGACTATAGTCAATATTTAGACAAAGTATAGTTTATTTATAGACTACAGACTATGCATACACTAAGTATAAAGTATGTATAGGCATGTGTAGACCATATATGGACTATGTGGGGAGTATGTATAGGCATGTGTAGACCATATATAGACCATGTGTAGACTATATACTATGCATAGACCATGTGTATATGTAGACCAACTATATAGACTATATACTGTGCCTCCACGATGTGCTGTATGCCTATCATCAGATAGGCAATGAGCAGATCCAGGGATCATTAACATGAAGAAAGACTCATATACCTATGCAAACTATGCAGCAGAAGACAAAACACAACAGAAGTATTAAAATCAAGACTGAACACACCTCACATCATCTCAATGGGGTGCAAGGAGGGTTCATGCACAGAAGAATGATCCCTCTTGCACAATGCACGCATGGGGAGAATCCACGCAAGAGAGATGGAGGGGAGATAGAGACAAATTAAGGACCAGGGGAAGGAGAAACGGGGTGTACGCCCCTATACTTTAGTTGAATAATAGTAGTCCCTCTCGAATCGCCATAAAAAATAGTGTCAGGTCTGAACATGCCTGGGGCCTCCAACACAGGGCCATGAGCCTGGGCATGTCCTAGGGGCGCGCCTTGGCCATCTAGATGTTTTCTGTTTTTTTTTTTTTTGCCAAGGGCCCGTCAGCCAATTTGAGGACCTTGCCTAGTGAGTATTGGGGTGGCATGGAAGTGTTTTGTCTGTCCTGACTCAAGGTGTGTGTGTGTGTTGTCTTTTCATGGTTGAGTTTGCTTTGCTTTTGATTTCAGGCAGGTGTGTGAGTTTTTTTGGTGGTTCTTTTTTTTTTTTTTTTTTTCACAGCACATGCTGGAAACCGGGTCCMCCAAAAAAAAAAAAAAAAAAAGGAAACTGGGTCCAGCGTCCCATAGGGACATTTACAGTTTCAACAAGGATCTTTTTTGAGAAAAGTTGAGAGAACCAGTGGGTTCGACGAAGTCATTGCCGGGGGTCTCCCCTGTAGCTGTGGGGCTTTGTGACTTTTGAGGAGAAGTCGAGGGTGGAAGACACTTCTTTCCGTGAGAACAAGGTGGATCGGTTCTGGGGTAGCGGTGGCACCCTGTCACCCTAGCACGAGGGGGTCTGAGATCCGCCGCGTTTTTGTACGAGGACTGACGGCCTCCACCTTCCTTTCTTTTGCTTAGCAGGTCCTGGTCTGTTCTGACCGCTTGCCCTTCTTTTTTCTCTTGTGCTGTGTATTTTGTGTTCTCTTTCGTTCTTTTCGTGATAGTCTTAGACATTTCTTAAAAAAAAAAGAAATTGGTTTTACAATTGCCTATGTTTAGTGTATGGTAAGAGGAAGGGGAAGGCTAGAATTAGGGTTTGAAGGGTTGTGGTGGGCTCAGGCAGAGGAAGGATTCATTGTTCAAGGTAGTAGGTCTACTAGAAGGGGGCGGGGTGGGACGACATTGGCCGGTGCTGGAGCATAGCTCTGTGACCAGGGGGAAGCTTGAGGCCATTGGAGTTATGCCGAGGGTGGAAGGCATAACCATCCCGTTCAACGAAGCTGTAGCTGGGGCGGTGACCCTGTAACCTTTAAGGGGCCTTACAGTTAAGGAAGCTGTCGAGGGAGGAAGGCACTTTCTGCCGGTCAGAAACAGTCAGGTCGGTACTGGGGTAGGTAGTGTTGCTTGTAACCTTAACAAGGGGGGTATGAGATCTGATGATTTCTGGCCCGAGGATTGAAAGCTTGGGCGGGTTTTCTTCGTCTGTGGAGAGGGGAGGAGATGGATGGTTAGTGGTTCTAGCTTGTGTCCCTTTTTCTTTTGCTTTTTGAACACTGTCATAGGTAGTTGTTATTAGACTTCAAGAAGATAATTTTTTCGAATTTCCAAAACGTTGCTTGGTGGTCTTAAGAATGTTTGAGGACTCTGGGGACTCCTAGCAACTTGTCTTAGGTGGCTTCGATGCTGTTAGATTCAGTGATCCGCGGCTGTTCGATCCCAGAACGACGCTGGCCAGTGATTGGGTGATGCCCTGTAACCTGCTGATTGCTGATGCAGGAGCGTGAGGCCTGGTAGAGAGATCTGGGGACGCTTTGGGGTGGGCATTCCACCGGACAACCAAGGGTTGCTGCTGGGACGACGCTGGTTGGAGCTGGGGCGAGTCGCGTCACCCTGTAACCCAGCAGGTTGTGGGGGTGTGAGGACTGGAAGAGCTCGGCAGGGAATAAGACAGTGTTGGAGAGCTTTAGAAGGGTTTGCTAAGGATTCCGAGGGTTTTTTAGCATTTGTAGGACCTTTCCAAATTTGACATATCATCAAAGGGCGTCCCTGTTCAGTTAATCCCCTGGTTTCCGGGGCAATCAATGCTGGCAGATATTGGAATCGATGCAGAGCGCTGCAGCGAGATTGTTCACACACACATGAACGCTGAAAGCACAGAGTAGTTCACAGCAAGCTCAAGTGATGATAAAATTGAAAAAATTTGAACAACAGCCCATCACCAAATTCCTTCCTCTGGCCACACACCCTATGGTCCGCCATTCACTCCTTCAACCTTGCTGCTGTCGATTTGGCGCAGAAGCGTCAATATNCATCACCAAATTCCTTCCTCTGGCCACACACCCTATGGTCCGCCATTCACTCCTTCAACCTTGCTGCTGTCGATTTGGCGCAGAAGCGTCAATATTGATGGCAGAAACTGAGTTCGCAGCCCATCACCAAATTCTCCGCCATTCACTCCTTCAACCTTGTTGATGTCGATTTGGCACAGAAGCGTCAATATCGATGGCATAAACTGAGTTCGCTGAAAAAGGACTACTCTATCGTTCCCTAACTATTAATAGTTCAAAAACCTTCGTGGACGTACTCGAGGCCGACCGAAACGGACGAAAGGTCAAAGGCAAATCACATAACAAAAACAAATAAAAAACAACGAAAAACAAAAACGAAAACAGAGGACCAGAGGGGCCAAAACGTCAGGGCAGGACACGTCGGGCCTACAACCCTGCGGCTCCGACAACTACCGACAACTTTGATCCTAACCTTCCCTAATCATTCAAATGAAGGCCTTGCACTACCAGGCCCCATTCGGGGCAACAGGTACGGACAAATTTGAATAGGACCTTCCGAAAATTTTCCCTGGGATAGGCCTGCAGTCTTAGGCCGCGATTCAGCTTGAGCACACTTTCACCCACTCTTTCCACAGACATGGTGGTTTGCTTGATCTTGTGCAGCATCCCATTAATCAAAGTTCTCTTTTTTCGTGCACAGGTGTATGAGTTATAGTCTTGAAAGCACCTGTAACTCAGTCTTTCGCTCTTCTCCCAAATTTCTCTGAAATTTTTTGCACGATGTCAACACTCCACACGCGGCCCATCTATCCAAACCCGACAACCCCAAAAAATCCCACTCCTTCCTTCCTTCATCAGTCCGTTTCAAGGTGAGATTAGAATCGTAAGATTCTTCAAAAACCTTCCTTATCTCTTTACCCTTTCACTTCTTGTCCTTCGACCATGCGTCCCAAACAAATAAGGAAACGTCATCAACTAATCTAATCCCTTTCACCAGTTTCGAGTCCTTTCCCAATTTTTTCAGAAATTTCGATTCACAAAAGGCACACAAAATGCAAGCAATCGGGGGGCTACTCGATTTTCCCATCGGGATGCCCTCCTTCTGTCGAATAAGCCTTCCAGAAGCTCACAGATAGGTATTATCGAGGTTGAACTCGATCATTGCTCTAATTAGATCAAAGCTCACTCTCAGCCAACCATCCTCCCCCTTCTTCTTTCCAAACGTCGCACCTTTTCCCCTCGCCCGAACTAAGACCCAATTCTTCCCTTCCTCTTCGTACCTACTTAAAATCCATTCAATTGCCTCCCGTATCGACTCATGGGGCAGCTTACTGAACATCTCTTTGATGTCGTAGGCTGCACCTATTAGCTCCCCATTCTTCTTTCTTTCCGCCCATCTGCATACTTCCTCCAGTTTTGTCTTCAGCAGGTCTGTCGACTTCAGGTTGAAATGATCATTCTTCGACAGGGAAAACAGAAGGAAGTTCAGCGCCTTCGCCACTCGCCGGTTAGCCATCTTTGCAGGCTCAGAGAAGGACGGAGAAATCGGTCGAAACTTCGCTGAATCCTTATTCTTTGGAAGCACATAGGCTTTCCCCCAGTCCC